ACGGGTCTCCGCAGCTCCATCTGATGTCACAGTGTTATAACACATATAAAGCATTTTATCTTTACAAATGTAGCTGAGTCCTTGGACTGGACAAGTCTTTCAAACAGATTACTGTCTTTGACATCCCTTCAAATGGAAGACTCGTGGGACACTTGACCACCCTACTTATCTCCAGTGACCTCTTGCTTTCTCCAGCTCTCCTCCTTCTTTCACTTTTCCTTGCTTCCTTTCTCTCTAGCCACATCTTCATCTGTTTCTTTTCCTTAAGCCCCTGCGGCTTCCCCACATTCTTCCCTTTCCCCCTTATTTCTGCTATCCTCACAGCTGATCCTACCTACTTTCTTCTTGCTTGATCTTTGTTACTTTCTTGTCTTCTTCCATGTTTCTTCAATGCCTTCTTCTGTCAGTTACCTGTCTCATCCTTCTCTGAGGTCCTTTTCATGCCTTCTCTGCTGCATTTTATAAGATTCACCTTAAGCCCCTGACGCCTTTCCCTTTCAATCCTTTCCAGCTACAGGACTTCATTTTCAAATAATGAAAATGTGAACGAATCTACAACCATAAAGATGGGTTGCAGCCTGTGTGTAGCATGTTGCGGCAGGTAAAGGATAGTCTCAACCACTCTACTAGATGCTAATATGTTGACTCCATGTTTCTATTTGACCTTTCACTTCATTACTGAGATAAAATATCAACTGAAGTCAAAAGTGTACTAACTGTTCTTTTTTTAATTGTTTGATTTAGTTACTTCACCTTTTTAAGTTACTTCACCTTTTTACTTCTGCCTTTTTAAGGAAGTAACTTGATGCTACAATTGCTTCTCTTCCTTCATCCTAGAGAAAACCAGATCACTATGAAATTTGTAAAAACCATGCGTTATTGTTGCCCTCCAGTAAACAGTGTGCAAAACATTGTGCTCAGTAGCACATGGCCAGGAGCCAGGGAATTCTTAGTTGCACCAAGAAAGCAATGGCACTTATGTTGAACAGAACAGGTAGAATTGTGGCACTCTAATAAACTGGCGATCTTGTGGGGACTGTAATTAGTCTACTTATTCTATTTATCTTTTGGAAAGTACACCCGCTTTCTGCAAATTAAGAGATACATGAAAGGAGCAAGCTTAGAGAAAAAGCTCATAAATTCAGCACTGCCATATTGTCACATTTTAACAAGTTGTAGTTCCACTCATATCCCTGGCAACACTGTAGCTAGAAAGGCTCTATCTGAATCAAATTAAAGTTTGTTGCTTACAGAACTTTTGACTTGTGTTGCATAAAACAATGGCACTGTGATCCTGTTTACAAATGTAATGCTGGTGAGTTACAATGTTATAAGCGATCGTGTAAATTTCAGTGTTCAGTAATAATTTTCTCATTCATTCAAAAATAAATGTTTTTGTAGACTTTATATGAATATTTTGACAGCACCTGTAACCCTCTAACCCACTGAATATAGGTGCATAAGTGTACCTTCATTCAACCTTGAAGGGGCTAAATCCTTTGTGCATGTTCCAAGTGAGGGGCACACAAATCATTCATGGGTGCTCATGAATTGTTCCCACCTCTGCCGCCTCCTTCTTCTCCTGTCCCATCTTACCTGGGGCAGAAGAAAAAGTGGCAGCTCCAGCTCCTCGACAGAGTATGCTTTCTTGCTATCACTTTTTGTAAGAAGAAATTGTCACTGGGGATGCTGGGAGGTGGCACCCCTTATTTTGCCTCAAATACATTCAAATGACTCTTTGCGAAGTAAGAGAAGGAGGTGACAACTGCTGAAGTGAACACTCAATGTGCAAATCAAGGGGGACTTATTGATAGCTGCTCAATCTACAACTCACTGCAAATGATCAAACAAGGGGAGTTCACTTTTACAAGTTCCCCTTTTCTGCTACTTGTGTCATCTCTACCTTTGGCTGCATAATAGAACCACAACCAAATATTAGCAAATATGGCTGATCATACTGATTGAATAACAGAGTACTTCCAAGTGTTAGCTTCTTCAATGAAGATAATCCCAACAAAGAAGCAAATTATTGTAATTATTTATTAAATTTTTATACTGCCCTTCAATCTCAGGATCATAGGGCGGTTTACAATATCAGGAAGTACCTTATGAAAGAGACATTGTTTCGCACAACAACTGCTGTTCCCTATGCTGTCTAATATTATATTTTGAGTAGCAACAATCAGCATGACTTGTGGCACTTTCAGCATCTATATCAAGAGTACACAGCAAACCAGCATTTCGGTATTCAAGTCACATGCAGAGCACTATGATCACTGAAGAAAACAGACATTGTCTGGAAGCTCTCTGTCTTCTTCCATTTATAATGCTTTCCTCTGTTTATTTGGTGTGGTAATGGTAACAAATATATATTAACAATACATTAAACTTGACTATAAAAAAGCAATAACAGTTTCTGAAACTTAAACATAATGTTAAGTCATTCACCACAAAGCGTGTGCATGCCCTTAAAATGTGAATACCTAAAACATTTAAAGTGCCTTTCAAATTGTTTCATAGGCTGATATACAGTATATGCCCACTAAAAAAAAACCCTGCATGATAGCACTTGGTGCCTGATCTATGGATTTTTAGCTGAATGTCTCAATCTGCATTCTATTACAGAGCCTCAGAAGAGCCCTGACTACACACAATCAGCCACCTCTTCCTCTTTCTCAACTCAGTCCAAGCCAATCATATTTAAGCTGGCATGGAAATTAAAGAAAGATGGTCTGCTGGAAATTCAATCCCAGGCATGCCCAGTTAAGAAGTATCAGGTAGCAGATGATATGAGAGACCTCTGCTCAAGACCCTGGAGAGTTTTCCTCTGGCAGTCAGAGTAGACAGCAATGGGCTACACCAAGGCAATTTCTTTTTCCCCCATTCAGCCAAGCCACACACTTTCCCAGAGCAGCATGAGGTTAGGAGAGAAGGAAACCACTTCCGTGCCACTCTAGTAACATACAACTCTTCCAAACGTCAATGATATGAAAACTGTAACAGCCACCCTCATGCCTTAGCTTGGCAGCAGGGGAGCTCATCGTGCCAACTGTTCTCACCACTATTGATATCACAGCAGTATCGTAGCCTAGATAATTCAGCTAATGTGAATTAAAACAAAAACAAAAAAACCCACACCTTGAACCCTGAGGTTTTTGATAACTACTGCCTGGTCACAGATTCTCCCTTCCTAGGCTTGAGAGGGTGGTGACAGGAAAGCTTCAGGAGTACTTGGAAGAAATTGATTATCTAGACCCATTTCAACACAGGTTTATCCTGGTCTTAAATCACACTTGGTCACCTTGGTAGTTCTTCTTTACCAGGAGATGGGACAGTACAACTTTGTTACTCTTGCTGGACCTCTCAGTGACTTTGAATACCCTTGGCCATGTTATCCTCCTGGACCTACTCTGTGAGATGGGAGTTTGAATGTAGTTTGAATCATATCTGAAGAACTGGTATTTTAAAAGCATTGGATGACTGCACCTCAGCCCCCTGACCCTTGTGTTATAGGGTGCCACTGGGGATTGTGCTGTTTCCAATGTTATTTATCATCTGAAGCCATTGAGAGTGGTCATTAAAAGGTTTGAAGCACAATATGCTGATGACAGTCAGCTTTATTTCTGTTACATTTGAATCAGATGAGGCCATGTAGCTACTGAACCAGAATCAAGATGCAGTAACAGGTTGGATGAAGGCCAATAAACTGAAACAGAATCCTGGCAAGAGGGAAGTTGTTCAGCAATGTGCCACTTCTGGATGAAATTGTACTCCCCCTAAAGGAACAGGTATTCAGTTGGGGAGTAATTCATCTTTGTTCTTGGAAGCCCAAGTGGCTATGTTGGCTAGCAGCACTTTCTACCAAGGTGAATGAGGGTTACTGGCAACCAGTAGGCTAGCAGGCCAAGTTCCACACTGTTTTAACATAGAGCTCTGAAGAACTTGGAACCAGGATACCTCTCTCCCTACTGCCTTGCCCGAGCTTTGAACTCAGCTTTGGAGGCCCTCTTGGTTGTGCCCCTATCTCAGTTAATGGCAACCTGTGGGAGGGCCTTCTCTCTGGCAGTCCCCTTCCTATGGAATTGTCTCTCCTTGGAGCTCTGATGATACCTTGATGCTTCCTTAAAGCACACCTGTGCACCCAAACCTTTTCACCAGAAAATTAATGGTGCTCTTGGGTTACCACTTACATACTGGTTTCACCAGTTCCATAAACTGAGTTGGGTAGAATAGGAAACTACAACTTCCATGTATCCTACCAGTATGTCTTTTGGTATGATTGGGAGAATCAGGTTTCATTCCTGTCTCCAGCCACCCTGTGGAAAAATAAGTGTTCATGTTGGTAGAATGGTTTTTAAAGCTTTCACAGAAAAGGCTCACAGAAAAATTAACCTCATTATAAAAGACCTGGGGAAAACATGTCCATTGCTAGGGGCTACAGTACAACAGAAGTAAGCCCCATTGAAAATAGTAGTGCTTCCTTCTGAGGGGAAAGCCTTTCTGAAAAGTAAATGGCTGCAAACCCTTGCTTTTCCAGGTGGCTGCAAAGTGATTTTAGGTATGGCACACATGGCTCCCACAGCAATTTTCAGGAACTGTCCAACATTATGTGTGTCAGCCAAAAATAAGCAGTTCAAGGTCCCCATTATTTCAATGAGAGAGTTAACCTCCTGCTATAAGTCTTCTCCACTCAGTTCAATATGACTTAAAACTGCTGGGTTATGCCCTTAGTTTAAGACATTCCTTTAAAATAACTTAAACAGTTTTAAAAATTGGAATTGATGAAGCCTTTCAATCTTTCTGGAACAAAGTGTTGGGTCTACAAAAAAAACAACAACCCTACTTCATTAATCTCATAACATCACAAACAAACAGTTAAATAGGAAGCAAGTTTTGAAAAACATACAAATGCCAAGTAGTTAATATTTCTATGTTGTTCAGTGATGCAAACTATTACATTATTTCTTTCTTTCTACAAACCAGCAGCAATGCATCCTTACCATATATTCCATATTGGAAGCTTGTGGATACACCTGACCCCGTAATTTATTATGAAGATCCAAGATACTTTGCATATCACTGTCAGTGATAGCTCTTTTTCCTCTTTGCTTGGCGATCCACCATTCGCCATCCTCATCCATGTATTTTTCTAGCATCTCCTCAAATAGTGTTGCATTGGGGAGTACCATAGCAGAAACTGCTTGAGCTATGAATAGCAAGGCAGTTACTCTGAAGCAGTCTTCCACTACACTCTTCATGATGAATGATTAAAAAAAACTCCTCTGGGTTAACTCCAAAATAAAGGCTTCTTCTAAGTTGACTTGCTGCAAAAGCAAAAGAGAGTGAGGTTATTCTGAAGCTAAGGTACAGTTAGGAATTAATTTGGTGAACAACAAAAGTGAAACTGTGCTTTAAAGAGGAGGGTTCTAGTGTGGTAGCTAGGGGACTGTCTAAGAAGCCAACTAATGCAGACACCCAACAATTATACTGTATGTATGAGATGATAATTTATCTTCATTCTCATGAACTGAAGGATGCTGTACAAATATATTTGAAGGCACAGTTGCAAGCCTGCATGAAAGAAACCCATTCTCTCGATGAAAGCACAGGCAGTCATAGAATTAGCAGATTAATTCTGCCTTCATAAGCTCATCTGAAAATATTTTTATAACTTCAAGATGCATGATGAGCCTAAAATAAACGTAAGAAGATATCCAGGAGATCATGCCGAAAGCTAGCTTTCTGAGTCAGATTTTTCTAAAAAATAAAAATTAAAGGCACAATCTAGCCAAATGTCCTAAATTCACTTATTCGGGATGAATCCCCAGTAAATACTGAAGTACTTGCTTGTAAGTAAATGTGCATAGGGCTGTGCTGCATATCTCATTGATTCTCACTGAAATCCATGTGCTTAACTCTCCCACCAAAATGTAAAAGTACTTAATGTTGGCTCAATCATGCCACAAGTCTGGTGAAAAGCCTTTGCCAAACATTTAAAAAATCTTTTCAACGCCCATCATAACAACAAATTATAATAAGGTTTTCAAAATCTATAAACTGCAGCCTAAGTTTACTCTACCTTACAATTAATAGTCACCTTGGAGTATTGCTGACACTCTTAAAAATGATTCTAGTAGATGTCCTGAACAGAGAGGGCAGTTCTCACACAGAAATGAATGGAGCGCACATCATTTAATTTATATCAACAGAGGATTGCTTAGCTTGGAAAGGGGCCACAACCATATAAACGTTTCAGCATCCCCTGCATTCAAAGCTGTGAACCAAATGATCGGGGGCGGGGGAGGTGGGCAAGAAACAGAGCGCGTTTATTATTGAAGAAATGTCAGTGCCGGCAGTAATTTGCTACCTCCCACCTATCATCATATGGCCATCTTAAACAGTGTGGGGTTTTGCCCATTACGAACCATTCAGACCGGCTCCCTGGTCTTCCTGCGTTTCTGTCACATGAGGGGGGGCACTTTATCTCAGAAACTTTTAAAAAGAAAACTTTAGCTGCCCTTATACTAAACAATCACAGCTCGGAATCCTG